TTGTATGCATTGCATGGCAACCAAGACTAAGACTTTACGTGACAAATAAGCTTGGGAAGGCCAGATCTATGTATGTATGGAACGGATCTGACCGCAAATGCCAGTTTTAGCTGGTGCATGGCATGGACTCGCCGAGTCTGAAGAACAGACTCGACGAGTCGCTTGAAGATTGTCCTTGAGACCATCCTGTGTGTAGTCCGGACCGAGTTGTGGGCGACTCAGTGAGTCGCAGAGAGTTGGAAAGGTTTTGACAAGTGGACCGAGTCAGGTTGGGACTCGCCGAGTTGACCTTCGACTCGGCGAGTTGAGTCGCGGTGGCCCTGTGATTCAGGCCCAGGTGGAACTCGTCGAGTTGGGGGAGTACTCGACGAGTCAAAGGGAAAATTCTTGAGAGTTGGTAAAAACGCGTAGACTCGCCGAGTCGCTATTGTGCACTCGCCGAGTCTGGTTCAAATTGTCTAAAGACTGCTGACCAAGTCAACCTGTGTTGACTTGATATGGATGGTCCACCTTAGTGGTACAAGTAATAATTATAGATTTATAATTATCATAGGAGGATTGCAGCTCGAGGGTTCGAGCCCGAGTGATTCCAGGATTCACGATTAGCGACTTAGCGAGGCATACGAGGTGAGTCTTCTCACTATACTGTACCCGGAAGGGTTTTGACTGTGTGACTGGAAGGTCGAATACGATATGAAATATATGCCTTATGTGTGTTAAGTTATTTTCTATATGTGTTATGTATGATATGTTTGATATGGGCCGGAAGGCGTGGTCATATGGACTATAAGGGTTGACGTGGGTAGGACCGGAAGGTTTACCCAGTCGGGACGGAAGTCCCCTGAGACACATGGACCGGAAGGTCAAGGCCTGGAAAGGCGTATGTGCGTATGTTGTATTTTGGGAACTCACTAAGCTTTATGCTTACAGTTGTTGCATTATGTGTTTCAGGTACGAGTGAGGACCGTAGGAAGGCGCCAGCGTGACCGTACACACACTCGGGGAAAACTATTTTATCTTTTGTTATGTAATCGGTTGTGACTACATTGTTACTTTGGAATCTAAACTTATTACTCATGTTTTGATGGTTGTAAAAATGAAAATTTTTGGTTGGAAATTTTATGACGTTACAAAAATAAGTGGATTGTAATTTTTTGAAGATTTTAATTTTTAAAGGATATCTACAATTTAGGAGAATTTTTTTTTTTTGAATTTGTCGAGGAATAGTTTTGTTACTTTGATTAATTTTTATTATATTTGGCTGCAAAAAATGTTTGTATTCAAATTATTACCAGAGAAATGGGATCTATAATGTTTGTTCTATTAAGTTGTTAATACGACTAGAAAAATACCACTGGATTTGGTGTTAGTCCGACGACATTTCGGCAGTGGTATGGGGGTGGCCCGACGACAGTTTGGTGATGAGTGGAAGCTGATTGTAAATGAGGGAATGAGAGAGTTTGCTTGATGTAATATTAATTGCTTGTTTGTCCAAAATACTCTTAATGATAAAATAAAATAAAAATGATTCCTAGAGTTCCTAACTTTTTTTGTTCCTATTTGAATGAGTCCCTTTTGTTTTTAACATTGTGCATGATTTTCAAATATTAAAACATGTGAAGTTTTCGTATATATTATTACATAAAATGATTGAGTAATTATGATGCATGTAAATTATATGTAACGAGGTAGAAAGAAGCAAACCAACATCAATATGGAATAAGGCTTTTGGAAGTGGGTCATTATCTGCTTCATGAGCATGAATACCACACACAAGGTGGTGTGATTAGTCATGGATAGCATCACGGGCATCAACGAGGAGGCAACAACTCCTCTCTATCTCTCTTATTCTCCTTTTTCTCTTTCCCTCTCTATCTATATATCTATCTCTTCCTCTCTCTTATTTTGACCATCAAAGCCACACTAGCGGTGGTGGAGGGGCATGGTTGATGTGATTGTGAGGTGAAAGGTGACCATGTCGGAAAACAACACAGCTTACTACTAATAACAATTATCATTGAATATGATATTTTTTAAAATTGAAACTTATTCACATTCAACTTCCACACATATTAACATTGATTGATGTGGTCTATCAGTCACTAGAAGATTACATAAATAATGAAGAGGAAAAGCTATGTGTTCTTTTCGACTTCGATTCCGAACAAACAGAATGGTGTTCTCATAGTTCTTGCATCCATGTGCAAGCCTAGTATAAAGAATGGGGTAGCACAACTACTCCTCAAATTTTATTGTTAAATATAAATTTAGTGTAAATCTGTTGGTAATCTGTTAGTAATGGTTTTAGCGATGATACCTTGTTAAAGTATAAATATAGTTGAATATCCACTAATATGCAACCCTTACAAGAATTTTGAAAGCCCTAAAGTTTTTTTTCCTAGGTTTACCATACAGTTTATGTTGAAAATCTTCCCTTTTCCTCTTTCTTTCTTTCTTCTTGAATCAGAAAACTCATCACAATCATCTCCTCTTCTTTTCTATTGTCTATATCACCTCTATCTCGAGCATCACTGGTTGATATCGAGCTTATCCTGAAACAATGCCTACCCATCTAACATCCAAAAGAGTCTCAATATGGTGGAAACATACATTAACTAAATGAAGTTTTTATAATTTTTTAGAATTCACCACACATGTGTATAAATGTAGGTGTATTACTACAACAAACTAAATTGGACATGGTAATTGTGTCGTGTCATACGGGTTCATGTCATATCGAAATAGTATACGCGTTGAAAGTGTTTGACCCCAACCCAACCTGTTTAATTAGCGTGTCATGTCATCTCAACCCATTTATTTTCGTGTCGGGTTTCGTGTTAGGGTATACCTTGAAATATATCGTGCTATTTGAGGTTGAAATAATATACATGTTGAAAGAGTAGGAGTTAGTTATGAGGAAAAGAAAAAGTAATACCTTGGAGGCATAATAGATAAAGTCATAACAAGTTCAGATGACATAATAGAAAGAGTAGGAGTTGTGGAGGCGGAAGATGAGATCATGACAATTGGAGAATGGTCAAAGGGACTCTATAGTTTGGGAGAGAACAAAAAAACTGAAAATAAAATATTGATATAAACGACTATGGCATTTCCGCATTACAAAACAATTAAATTCAAAAGGTTTTTTTACTTATGGTTTTCATTTTGGATCTTTTTAGTTTATTTATAGAAGTTAAAAAAAACTTGCATATAAATAAACGGGTTATTTTCAAGTCATATTCGAATTAAAATTTTAAACCCTAACCTTACTCGTTTAATATTCTACATACTAACCTATTGTCAAGATAATCAATAAAGATGGATTGGAGATGCTAATGAAAAATATATGGTGGTGTGGTTTAGAAGAATTATAGATGACGAATTGCTTATGCAAAAAATGATCAAGAGTCTTTGGAATATTATTTGTCCAAGAAAAGTCAACATCTTAGTATCGAGAACAAGGTTACAATCTTAGTATGGAGAGCAAGGTTACAGACGTTGCCTACAAAACTCAACCTGGACAAACTCGACGGCGTTTATATTCAATCGACACTTTGCCTTCTTTGTTACAGTAGATACGAACAGAGACACACTTGTTCATGTAGTGCTCAACTATGATTCAGATTCCTTACACACTTCACATGTGGTGGGGCAAAATTCCAATTATTTTCAACTCTATTAAAACATGGTTTCAAATGGACAACAACAGTGCCATCCCCCCCCCCCCCCAAAAAAAAAATGAAGCTTATGTCGTGCTCATGGACACAACATGGGTTATTTGAAAATACTTTAACAATGTCATGAGGAAGAGTCATGATTTCCCGAGTGAGGTGGAACTCTTGGTTTCCAGTTCGATGCATTCACTTGATTTCCCGAGTGAGGTGGAACTCTTGCAGGTTCTTGAATGCATTCACTTGTATTTCCATGTACTCTTTGTTTATGTCTTGACTTAGACTTACTACTCTTGTTTGCCCCTTTAGTGGTAGGAGTGAGAAAATGGAGTAGAAAAACCAGGATCGAGTACATATAATTGTTCGGTTTCGGTTTTTTGGTTCAAAAGTATTTGGTTTCCTTCCGGTTCTTGTTAGGTTTGAGCGAATGGATTTCAAAATTTGAAACGGACCGGATCCAAAACCGAGTACTTATCCCATAGTTATATCGTGTCGAGTTTCTTCGCCTCCTTGGTTATTCATCTAGGTTATCATATTGCAAGTCACACATTAACACATGTCTTGTATCTTGTAAAGCTATGCTTAATGGGTTTACAATAATGGAGATATGGCTTTTGTTGTTTTGGTTCTTTGAATCCATGACAATGAAGGATGTTTTTATTCATAGACTACTATTGTAAACGGGTACACCAAGAAAGCATGACACGAAATTGCAATTTAGTTTTTTCAAAGGAGTTTAACCTATTTGTACATTATATGAAACCTAATAAAGCCACATAAGTTAGTGCTCTTTTTTTGCTTGGAGGGTTGTTACAAGCAAAGACATAGGTATATCATCAAGAACCAGAATCAAATAAGTTCTTTCATTGGTACATCACTGATATCTTTCACAATATGCGACAAAAGTATTTGGAAACTTAATTAGTAAAAAAGGAAATATGTACATGGAATGCAATGATGGATACTTTAATTGAGCTTCACATGGAGATTGAAGGGTGTCTTCCAAATTAGCCATATTAATCTTTGATAACAAATGCTAGAAGTAAATTAGAGTAAAGAAAAAAAAGAATATAATCAACCCACAAATGGCATTCAACTCTTATAGTAAGAAAAGTCACAAGAAAGTAAAGATGAACTCATGAAAGAAACATGGTTGCCATAATAGGAAAAAAGCATGGAGTCAATCAAGAAAGAAACAATAAAGCAGACAGATTAAGAAATCACTCACTTCGTTCCAAAATAAATGAGCTTTTTCCCTTGGTAAATTAACAAAGGCAAAAAAAAGCTCATTTAATTTGATACAAAAGGAGTAATGGTGATTCATGTTGATTAACCTCCATTTCCACCATATTTCTTCTCAAAAAGAAAAAGATTATTGTATGCGTCATCTTTTGCTCTGTTCACTGCAATCACCTTCTTCAACTTGTATTTTCCCCTTCCAATCAACTCATTATCTATGTAAACTTCAATTTCCCCTGTTTTACTCCACAAATCTTTCTCTTGTGCTTTCACCCCCATCTTCTGACAAGCTTCATTGAATTTTGCTACAGGATGCAGCTTCAAGTTTTCCGGCTTGATTAGGGGTTGTAACAACCGCTCCACCACCCGAAAAAAACCCCAAGATTTGAGTTTACACCACCATCACTATCACCATTCATAATGACAATATATATATATATATATATATATATATATATATATATATTCTACAACTTCTAACCCATCATGAGAAGGGGACCTAAGAATTGAAACCAAGAAATTTTGATGGATTCAATTGCAAGTAATTAATTACCTCCCATGTAGAATCTATTGACGAGTCTGTATCGATGAAGATGGCACCGATTAGTGACTCCAAAAGATCAGCAAGCACTTTGGGTGGATCAATCATACCATGTGAATGCGATGGGTATTGTTCGATCCCTTCCATGAATTCTTGGATCTGATCACTCTCAAAAAAAACTATCAGAATCGAATCACTCAAATTTGTAATTAAGAACATTGGAACAAAAAACTAAAAAGTGATATAAGATTATTCGATCAAATTTGTGATCATTCATCTCTAATAACGAAAAACATCATTAACGATTAGTTGGAGAAGTAGTCATGAACATATCGTGCGATTGAGATCTATTTAGCAGATAAATCATGGAGCAGAAATTGAAAACGAAAATTACCTGTCGATGAAGAAGAGGTTTCCGGTGGCGAAGAAACTTATGCAAATTGTATTTCAACGCCGCCCTCGCTAGCGCCTCCGTGTCAACATTGGCGGCACATAACCGAGTCAACTCACCAGGAGCCATATCAGCATACGATAAATAATGTAGCTTAGCAATTAAATGATTCAAAACTGCCTCGCCTAAATACTCGAGTCGCTCGTAAGATTTGCAGTCATCGGCTTTGTAAGAACCAAGAGTGAAAGCCTCCTTCAGTAACTCCTTGTTTCCAAAACTGTATCCCATCACTTCCTCAACCTCGGCCAAACTAGGCGGCGGCACATGTGAAGATTCTGACTCCTTCATAGATTCTGAATCAGGTTCTTTCAGAACTTGCTCTACCAAATCATGGTTTTTCAGTGAAACGACAATATCTTGATCTTCTTCCATGGCTTACGGGTTTCTGAATCACTTTTTTTTATAGGATTCGAGGAATATGATTTCGGAGACGAAATCAAGAGAGAGAACTTTTGGAGAGAGGTTTTCTTTCTTTCTTGTTGCAGATGATTTGGTTATGGACGAAATTTTGAGGTTTGACTGTGTAACTTGCGAGAGACGTGACGGTGACTCTTTCGATAAAATCATGAGAAATATTTATAAGGATATCAATTTTTATCGACATGACTTTGTTTCAAGTCTTTTTTTAATAATAATAATTACAACAAATATTGTTAATAGGTAATCAATTTGTGTATTTATGGTATAGATCGTGAGATACATTAAAATCCAGGATATTGTCATGTTTACCTATCTTTTATTTTTTTATTTTTTTAAAAAAAAAATACATTTTATACAAATATTATATTCATTTTCGAGGAAACTAAAATCATGAATTTTAATATATTTATTTTTACAATTTTTTAGTACACACACACACACACACACACACATATATATATATATATATATATATATATATATATATATATATATATATATATATATATATATATATATATATATAGACACACACTTTAAGCTTACACCCTATACCACATCCATAATGTAGTGTTTACTGGATGCAGTTCAGGCTCCTTTTAAGTTTTACCTTTCCCTCACATACACCGCCCAACCTAAAAACAAAAATTAGGTAAGGTCAGATCAATATAATTTTTAAGTTCACTAAAATCCCATTAATAGAGATCTCATGACATAAACAACTTTTCAATAAATATTATCAAATGATCAATCTAATTATGCCTTACTATTTTTTTTCTCGATTTAATGACCGTTTGTCCAAAATAAACTACCTTTTATGAAATTGCTTTAAGATAGTTTTTAACAAATGTATAGAGTTTTTTTTTAATATTTTAAAAATAACTTGAAGTTTTTATTATATATATTATTTTTTTTAACATCTTCCGTCCACTTATTTGGTTAAAAGACATTTATCTGTCAACTCTAGATATTGATACGTATAACTCTTTAGTATATTCTTTTTTTTTTTTCTTTTAGTTATATTTTTAAATATCCATTTATGTCATTTTATATTGCAATCCAGTTTATGAATTATTTTTTACCAAATATTATTAATCTACAAACTAACTTATCAACTTATGAAAAATTAGCTTTTCCGCTAGTTTTCCAAACAAACCCTTAGTGACAAAATCGAATCCGCAAATAATTCGCATATCTCACTAAACTCGTAAAATAACTCTTATTAATATTTCTTAAAGCTTTAACCTTATTTTCTTTGTAACAACCTCTCTGCAACTACCCTCGATTCTTCACATACATTATTCATGTCATGCTTAACTAAAATGAATTTTCTAATATGTACCCTAAGGGTAGGAGTGACCGTAGTGCGGTTCGATGCGGTTATTGGTTAAAACCTCACAAATAACTGAAATGCAGTTAATCCATTTTCAAAACTGCTTGGTGCGGTTAGGCGGTTATTTTTGCGGTGCATTTTTTTGTGTTTCGGTTATTAACCACATGCATTTGATGCAGTTATTTTGTGTGGTTTTTAACCACACTTTAGAGTTAAAATATTTTTAAGAGTTTAAACATATAAAAGTTAAACATAAGAAAAGTTAAACATAAGAAAAAAATCAACAATTTTGACTTTTAGAATTTTATCATACTTTCATTAATGAGGTCTTATTTTTAATATTTAATATGTCATTAATAATTAATAAAAAAAATGTACATAACATATGCGGTGTCGTGCAGTTTTTTATGGTTTTTGAAAACTAATAACCGCACCGCAACGTAAATTTGCGGTTATTGAAAAAACATAAAACCTCACCATCGGCTTTTATTGTGGTTGCAGTTTTTGTGGTTAATTTTAATTACGGTTTGGTTTTGGCTCACTCCTATCTAATGGCACATATAAGAACCATTAATTGAAGTATTAATTATAAGGAACATTACCATAATTAAATATAATAAATATTAAATATAAATAATAATTTTACAATTAATGTATTTTACATTTAACTATGATAATATTACAAAATAATTAAGGTTTATCATATTTAATTATAATATATTTCTTATAATTAATACTCGTACTTCAATCAATTAATGATTCTTATATGTGCCCTAAGGGCACATACTAGAATATTCCTAACTAAACACCAAATGATTAATAATCCACAAATTACCTCTTTTTACGAAGTCCTGTTTCGTTGTATTTTATGAGTGGTCAAAATTTCAACAAAATGAATCACTCTTTCATAAAATATATCAATGGTGTATACATTGTTCAAAAATAGTATTTACTATAATAACAACTATGAAAACTACTAACTAACACATTTTCGAACTTTTTACTTTTATACACCTAGTCCTTCCTTAAGTGGTTCGACAAGTTCGAGGTTAATCGTCAACTATGCAAATCTATGTTTATTGCTGATCATATTGATTCCATAAAAATATGTTGGAGAAATTTTAGGCGTTGCAAAATTAATGTTGTTATATATGTATATATGAATCTCATTTGCACATTATGTTCTTGAAATGCGTTGTGTGGGTCATCGTTAAGCATCTAAACACCATATGTTATCGTCAAAGTCATGTCAAAGTCTAGCACCTCTACCTCTCTTGGGTGATACCAGAGACACATATACTACTCCACGTTACTCGTTACAATCTTTTTCTACGATATTACATTTTTACTTTGTGAAAGAAAATTGTCTTGGGCTTTGTTTGGAAAAAACTATCAAGTTCACTACTTGTACACATATATATATATATATATATATATATATATATATATATATATATATATATATATATATATATATATATATATATATATATATATATATATATATATATATATATATATATATACTTTAAACTTACACCCTATACCACACCCATAATGTAGTGTTTACTGGATGCAGTTTAGGTTCCTTTTAAGTTTTACCTTTCCCTCACATACACCGCCCAACCTAAAAACAAAAATTAGGTAAGGTTAGATCAATATAATTTTTAAGTTCACTAAAATCCCATTAATAGAGATCTCATGACATAAACAACTTTTCAATAAATATTATCAAATGATCAATCTGATTATGCCTTACTATTTTTTTTTTTCGATTTAATAACCGTTTTGTCCGAAATAAACTACCTTTTCAGAAATTGCTTTAAGATAGTTTTTAACAAATATATGGAGTTTTTTTTTTAATATTTTAAAAATAACTTGAAGTTTTTATTATATATATTATTTTTTTTAACATCTTCCGTCCACTTATTTGGTTAAAAGACATTTATCTGTCAACTCTAGATATTGATATGTATAACTCTTTAGTATATTTTTTTTTTCTTTTAGTTATATTTTTAAATATCCATTTATGTCATTTTATATTGCAATCTAGTTTATGAATTATTTTTTACCAAATATTATTAATCTACAAACTAACTTATCAACTTATGAAAAATTAGCTTTTCCGCTAGTTTTCCAAACAAACCCTTAGTGACAAAATCGAATCCGCAAATAATTCGCATAACTCACTAAACTCGTAAAATAACTCTTATTAATATTTCTTAAAACTTTAACCTTATTTTCTTTGTATCAGCCTCTCTGCAACTACCCTCGATTCTTCACATACATTATTCATGTCATGCTTAACTAAAATGAATTTTCTAATATGTACCCTAAGGGTAGGAGTGAGCGTAGTGCAGTTCGATGCGGTTATTGGTTAAAACCTCACAAATAACTGCAAATGCAGTTAATCCATTTTCAAAACCGCTTGGTGCGGTTAGGCGGTTATTTTTGCGGTGCATTTTTTTGTATTTCGGTTATTAACCACATGCATTTGATGCAGTTATTTTGTGTGGTTTTTAACCACACTTTAGAGTTAAAATATTTTTAAGAGTTTAAACATATAAAAGTTAAACATAAGAAAAGTTAAACATAAGAAAAAAATCAACAATTTTGTCTTTTAGAATTTTATCATACTTTCATTAATGAGGTCTTATTTTTAATATTTAATATGTTATTAATAATTAATAAAAAAAATGTATATAACATATGCGGTGTCGTGCAGTTTTTTATGGTTTTTTAAAACTAATAACCGCACCGCAACGTAAATTTGCGGTTATTGAAAAAACATAAAACCTCGCCATCGGTTTTTATTGTGGTTGCAGTTTTTGTGGTTAATTTTAATTACGGTTGGTTTTGGCTCACTCCTATCTAAGGGCACATATAAGAACCATTAATTAAAGTATTAATTATAAGGAATATTACCATAATTAAGTATAATAAATATTAAATATAAATAATAATTTTACAATTAATGTATTTTACATTTAACTATGATAATATTACAAAATAATTAATGTTTATCATATTTAATTATAATATATTTCTTATAATTAATACACGTACTTCAATCAATTAATGATTCTTATATGTGCCCTAAGGGCACATACTAGAATATTCCTAACTAAACACCAAATCATTAATAATCCACAAATTACCTCTTTTTACGAAGTCCTGTTTCGTTGTATTTTATAAGTGGTCAAAATTTCAACAAAATGAATCACTCTTTCATAAAATTTATCAATGGTGTATACATTATTCAAAAATAGTATTTAGTATAATAACAACTACGATAACTACTAACCAACACATTTTCCAACTTTTTACTTTTATACACCTAGTCCTTCCTTAAATGGTTCGACAAGTTCGAGGTTAATCGTCAACTATGCAAATCTATGTTTATTACTGATCATATTGATTCCATAAAAATATGTTGGAGAAATTTTAGGCGTTGCAAAGATTAATGTTGTTATATATGTATATATGAATCTCATTTGCACATTATGTTCTTGAAATGCGTTGTGTGGGTCATCGTTAAGCATCTAAACACCATATGTTATCGTCAAAGTCATGTCAAAGTCTAGCACCTCTACCTCTCTTGGGTGATACCAGAGACACATATACTACTCCACGTTACTCGTTACAATCTTTTTCTACGATATTACATTTTTACTTTGTGAAAGAAAATTGTCTTGGGCTTTGTTTGGAAAAAACTATCAAGTTCACTACTTGTACACGATATATATATATAT